CTATGTCTCCATCATTATCCATGAGGCCTAGCTGTTATTTGCTGATGATTAGTGCAAGTATGTGGATGGATGAGCTGACAGAATATTGATTTTGTGTCAAAAATAATACCTGTGATGAGTGTGGAGAAGCAATTAAACCAACTACACAGTCAGCTTTTGGATTTCTGGGTGTCTCTTCATAAATCATTTGGGACTTAAAGATTTTAGAGACCATATTCTATTGTGATAGTTATGTTCAAACAAGTTGATCTATTTAACATCATAATAAATAATAAACTGTATAGAGTTATGGTATTAAATACTATGGAACAAACATCTTGAACAGTATTTAAACCTTATTTATTTTTTTTCCTTTCACTGCCTTTTTTCTTTAATTGGCTCTCATGCTGATTAAAATTTGGTAAAATATCTAGAGATACCAAGTCATTGTTATTAGCATTCCAAAAGATCAGGAAGAACTACAACTCTGTAACCAGAATGCATTCTTTGTTAGTAGAAAAAGTGAAAAGGATTCATCTTAGATTGATTATACATTTGAAATAAGGAAGTTGTAATTTAAATTTTCATTCATGGAGTTTTGATATTTGTGGTAGTCCTCTAGACAGAATACATTGTGAATGCATATTTGTACTTTTTATAGTAACAGTATAGAAGGGGTAATTATTGCCTTCTTGATTTCTTAGTCTAATTTACAGCTCTTTTATTTCCTGGATATCTTTCATTCAAATTCTAAACAATCTTGATGCTGCTTTAGTTTCCTATTCCAGATAAGGTCACACTGGGGCTGTTCTGTCTTTATCTTCCTGGCTGAATATAAAGACAGTTAGATAAACTCTACAAAAGCTTCCTTACAAAGTTTCTTTATTGGATTGTAATAGGCATCCTCAAGGTATAACCAGGGGTGGGATTCTACCAGTTCACACCTATTTGCTAGAACCTATTTGCTAGAACCTGTTGTTAACATTCTAAGCAATTTGGAGAACCGGTTTTTAGAAGAAATTACTGGCCTAATCCTGTAAGGAAGGCAGGAAGGAAACATTCTGGTGTTACTTACAGAAACTGCCTTTCCGTTAACCCTTATTACATTCTTGGCAGGACTAGACTTCCTGTCTCAGGAACGTCTCTGGAGTTTTTTTCCCCTCCTTTGCTGGTACTTTGCTTGTGTGGAGTCACCATTCAAAGTTACAATGACACTGAAAAAAGTGACTTATGACCATTTTTCACACTTACGACTGTTGCAGAATCCCCACAGTCATGAGAGGCCAGGCGAGGAGATGAGTGTCTCGATGTGAGTGATATTGAGTTGGCCACATCCAGCCAATAACATGACCACCAAGCTATGTCCACCCAGTCACATGCCCACCAACTAAGCCATGCCCACAGAAGAAATTTGAATCCCACCCCTGGGTATAAACTCACAGTTATGTTGAGATTCGTCTAATGTCCAATCTTTGCATAGTTGTCTTCATAGTGTGAAAATATAGTTATCTTCATCCCATAACGATGGAGCAAAGGGAAAGACACCAGCACAATGCTGGGGTCCAAGCAAGAATAAAGGAAACTCCCCTAACCCAACCAAGGGTCAATTCAGTGACCAATCAGGATTACAGATGTGATCACATGACATGAACTACATTTCCCATGAGGCATTAACTACATTTACCATGAGGCATTCCCTTAAGGAGACAGCCCCCTCTGCCTTGGTTTGGACTGATTGATAACTTTGGGACTGTTTTATCTTTTTTATTTTCTTTTGAATATTCTGGTTGTTGTAAGAAGAAAGAAGGAGAAAAGAAAAGAAAAGATTTATAATGGCTCTTTCTGTTGAGGAACTAAGAAAAGAATATGAACAAGCAAAAAAAAATGGTAAAGATGGTGTGGAAGAAGCTTTCCTTTTCTTAGAAATGGCGCTTACTAATTATCAACAAAAATTACAACAGATGAAGACAGCAGAGGAACAAGAAAGAAAGGAAGGAGCCATCTTTAATGAATCTCAGAATTTGATCCAGAAAAAAGGAAGAGAGAAAGAAAAGAAGAGAAGAGAAAAGAAGAAAACTAAAGGATTTAAGGACTTAAGATCCAAAAAAACATTTAAGAAAGGGAAAAATAAAGTGCAAAACCAATATGATGATTGTAAACAAAGGGGAAAAGAAATACGACAGAGAAGGGAAGCCGGTAAGGCAGAGGCTAGAAGAAGGGGGGGTAGAAAGGTTTGTTGGGAAAAGAAAGAAAGAGAAAAGGTGGAGAAAAGCTACAATGTTTTGAAATTAAATGGAAAAAAGGAATTTTTTATGGATAATGGATAAAGTATAATTTTTTTAAAAAAAAAAAGATTTTGCAAGGTACATAAGATGAGATGGTAGTATTGCAATGGTTTGGGAGTTGATAGGAGATTAAAATGTTGAAATGTTTAAAAATGATTGGCTTTAAAACTTAATAATAGGAGAGGTTTAGAATGTTGTTTTAATTAAAGAGTTTAATAAAATTATGGTATTGATGTCATTATAAAATTTTTATTATAGTATTTCTTTTTAATATTTGGATTTATTGTTTAATTATGCACTTAATTGTGTTGGATGTATTAGTTAGATAGAATGTACCAAGCAAAATCTGAATGGGTATTAGATATTATTTTAAAGATTAATTTGATTAACTTAGGGGGGAGATAGAAAGGCATCATACTCTGATTAATGATTTCAGGAGAAACTGATTTTTTTTTTTCATAAGGGATGAGACAAAGGGATGATAAAAAATGGACAAAAGATACAAATATAATGATTTAAACTAAGATGATTAATTAAGGTAGAATTAAGAAGTGTGAAATATGTGGAGAAGTTAATATAGAAGGTTTAGAATGGTAAATAAAATAAGTAATGATATGTAAGATGAGCATGAATATAATTGAAAGTCCATGAAGAGAGAGATACCTGGGTCCAAGTTACTTTCCAAAAAGATTTTTTTTTTATGTTTTGTGTGTTGTGTGTATATGTCTTTTTTGGGGGGAGAATTGGTAAAAACTTGTAGAAATATAGAATGAGAATAATGGTAACTAAGTCAGAAAGAATCAGATGAAATAATAATAATGATATTGAATAAGAGTAAAGAGAAGTAAAGAGAAATTGAATAAGAGGTTTTGGTATATTATATGGAAATGGTTTAAAACAGAATCATAATTTATCTGACTTGTTAAATTTACAATGGAAAAAGGTTAAAAAGGAAAAAGGTTTAAACATGTAATGAATAATGATAATTTGTGTGTTTTAAAAATCAATAAAACTTGTTTTAAAAAAAAAAAAAAAAAGGAGACAGCCCCCAATTCCCAATCAACTATATAGTGTCTGAACAGCACAGGGACTGTCACCTACTCACTCTAGCCTCACAGATCTGGTTTATATATACTTAGCTCTGTCACATATTGAATATCTAGAAATATGACAGTGGAAATCCCCGAGAAAGCTTTTTTCCCTTAGGGATGTGAAAAATATTTTGACCTAGAAATGGCCATTTTTCTGTGGCTTGTGATAGGGCGTTTCTTTTTTAAACTGGTGGGAGTGGAATGTTGAAAGGAAAGAAGAAATTTTAAGCACAGGACTAAACAAAGAAGACTGATAGCAGATGCTTAAATACAAATCTGCCTCACAAGTCTTTTTTTTTTCTTTCTTAATCTTCACTATGGGGAACATAAGAGTTTACATGGCTGGATAAATGGGTTGCTTGTGCCTTTTGCTGTACATTGCAGACTGGCAATGGAAAAACATTGATAATGCTGTTGAATTTGTAATCCTGTAAAGATTACTATTAGAATGTTGGCTTGCTTAGGTTATTAAGATTTGGTTGCAAATGCACTTTGCACACTATTATGTCTAGTTAATGCTTATCTTTCAGCAGCATTTAAAAATCAAAAATTATGGATGGTTTCTAGAACTTGTCTGTCTATCTGATTTTGTGAAGCAAGTGGGCTGTCAGAAAAAATGGCCCAGGATTTTTTTTTTAAAAAAAGTCAAATAATTAAGAAAACATCATAGGAATGAAAGTATGATTTGTATTTGTCTCTTTGGTTTGAAATTTCAGCCAGTTATTTGTCTTCAGACAACTATTATTGATGCCTGTGCTATAAATTGAGAGCATAGACATTAATTCCTAATCGCAATGATACCAAAATCCCAAAATGTCATTATGGTTCATAAGCACCACCCATTTTCACATCACCCATTTTCACTAGCATTGTAAAATTACACACCAGTGCATAAGGGGCAGAGTTTGTATTGTAATATTCCAATATGTATTTTGTGGTTTGTTTTGCCTCTCCCTCGAATACCTTTGATTGGAAGATAAGCTAATTAAAAGAAATGCAGTATTAAAGAGATATGTTGATTTCTTTGTCCCATAATCTGTTGGCTAATCGGATCATATTTTGTAGTCTTGAAAATAGACCAGTTCATAGAAGTTATTTTAATGTCCCCTCTTTCCAGATTTGAAGAAATGTGAAGTTTTAATATGGCAATAAAACTTTATTTCAATTTAAATTGTTTTATACTATAACATTTTCTAAGAATTCATGTTTTAAAATGTTGAAAACAATATTTTGCTTATATGTAAAATATATAACAATGTGACAATATAATCTTATATATAGCAATGGAACAAAGAGAAACAATTTTGCCATTATTAACTATAAAAACTTTATCAAAACCGCTTTTATATTCCTGGTGTCGTTACAGAAATAAACAGATCATTCTTTTGTCAACATAAGCAAACAGTTGAAAAGGCTAGTGTGCAAATTTAGATTTAGAAGCTTACACTGTATGCCCCAGAATAAAATGCATTATACACTTAAACAAATAGAACAGATGCCTTTTACTTTTAACGAAGAACTATTTAAAAACTGAAAAAGAATATAATGAAAACATGTCACCATGGATGAAAAATATTTACATTCTCTTTCTTCCATTATTTTTTCTTGTTTTATGTAGAATATTACAATGCAACTAAGGATAAATTCAGAAAAGTGAAAATGGCTTTCTGTTTTCTGAGGCAGATTGAAAACCTTTTAGAGTGGATTGCTCAGATGATCCAAAAGCAAAAGGAAAATTAAAGTCTTCTTTCCCATCTTGAAACACCTGAGTAGAAGGAACTGTTGGAAATGCAAATGTAAATGAGTCTTCAGTGTCCATTTTCCCAAAGAAATCTCCTTGAATAGAATAATACTCTGAATTAACATTTGATGCAATATATATCAATACCATATGAATAATGATTATAAGCCATTATTAAAATAAAAAAACAAAACACCATTGTTAATAATAACACGAGACTTGAAATTCTCCAGAAATATTATAAATTGGGGGAGATAGCATTTGATGGAGCTCTTTTTAAAATATTTTTGTTTAAAAGATAAAGTTATAGTCTGGCTTTCAATATAAATGCTCTTCAGTAATTTATGAACAAACAACAGCTAGTCACAACATATTTCTACCATGAACACTTACCAATACCTTTGTGTGGAGAAATTGGATTTATATTTCCAGCAGAGCAGCTTTCACCTAACTAAAAGACCAAATGAATTCATTAGAAAATGGCACATTAGGTATATGTACGGACAAATGGGATAAGAAATGAGATAAGAGCATAGTCAGTGCTAAACTGGCCACTGGCACTCTCAATAATACCAAAGAAGAATTCATTAGCTTTATTCATGGGGTGGGGATCATGGGGGGGTCATAGCATCAGTCCGAGAATCTCTGTAACAGAACTTATCATTTTAAAATGTGTTTAATACCTCTCTAACAAATTAAAGATAATCAGCACAGCTTGTGGAAGCAAATCCGTAGTTAATTATGTGGGGTTATTTTGTCTGACCTGAATTATTCAGCTTAATTAGTGGTCCCATACTCTAATTTCTTTCTAAGCATGTTCTATGTACCAGGAATAATTATTTACATTTCCATCCTATCCCTTGTTTTCTCATATTTTTCCTAAACTATTGATTGATTGATTGATTGATTGATTATGTTCCATCAAGTTACTGTTGACTCTTAGTAACCACATAGATAGACTTTCTCCATGACAATCTGTCCCTTGCCTGATCTTTCATCCAGTAGTGCACTCTGGAAGAGACTATTCAGATATTTTAGGGATTTTTTACTTCTTTACCAGGACTCCAAATCACAAAAGTGGCATTCAAATACCAGAACCAAGTGGATGTCTTTATGGGGTCAGTATCCCATTCCCTTTGTTTGAATTTCTTCATGTAGAAATTGGTTATGCCTAGGCTCAATTGGTTTCCCATGGCAATTTCCTCATTTTGCTCATAAAATTCATTGTTATATTGTATGTAGCTGTACATGAGGCAATGATGGAAGAGGTTTCTGGTATCTTCAGGAAATACTCTCTTAACATATAGCAATGTCTTCTTGAATTTTGCTGATAATTTGATTAGCTTTGATGTGGTCTCCTTGATATTTGGTGAAGAATGAGACCACATCAAAACCAATCAATCTATCACCAGAACTGAATTTATTGAGTTTCTCAACAAAGTGAGTTGAATCCTTGCAACTGCACATTGAACAGAGCAGAATAACAGGATATATATAAAGTCAAATGAAGGACATAAGCATAGCATAAACAGTAATGCTAACTTGCATATATAATCAAATATAAAAATGGTGATGTACCATCCAATAAGGAGCACTGTGGAATGGTGACCTGAACTATGGCAGGAGGGAACGGTAGTGGCAAGAGCGAAGCCAGGTCATGGTCTATGTATCAACCAGGCCTTTTGCTCTCTGTTCCTTGGCTTTGGCACCTCTTTATTGGTTTTCTTTCACATTACTGATCATGATTATTCTTTCCTCTTTTATCCAAGAAGTTAGGATTTCTATCTGAATCTTGTCAATTCTAGTCTAAACCATTAACAAAAATACCAGGTTTCCCTTGTGAATAGATTAATCACCATAAAAACTAGCTATGCACTCTAAACATTTATTATTACCTGGTCTAATGAACTCTCAGTTTCAAATGCAGAAAAATCAAAAAGATTAAATCCAGGTGACTGTGACTTTGAGGCAAACCCAGCAAGAAAAGAAAAAGCAGGTGACTTGACCAGCAATCCTTCACTTTCTGGTGGAAATCTAGTACAATGAAAGAGAAGACGATATGAATTTTAAGTGGAAGTTAAAAATCAGAAAGATCCTGAAGAAAGGCAAAATTTGATGCAGTAATAAACTTTGAATGAACAATGCTTACAGTTCAAATGGAGTTCTCATCTCACCAGAGTCAGGAGTTTTTGGAAGAATGTTTGGCTCTAGAGTTATTAACCCTGGAGTTTCTGCAGTATCTGCATCTCTTGTTGAAGAATAATATCCAGGTTTAGTAGAATTTTCTGTCTGCCTGTCCTGTTTAAGAAAATACTGCTATATCATATTTGAAGAAATAATGACTACCACAAATATATTCAGGGCTTTAAAAAATGTTCAACTATATCTTTTTGGAGCAATAATATGAAAGTTGAAAGATATAAATTTATTTATTTATTTTATAAATGAATTTTTTAATTTATATGCCACCCATCTCACCATCCAAACCACTATCCAAATTTGTAAAATCAGTACATAAATGATATATGAAGGTATAAAGAACTGAAGTGTTTCTTCAGAGAGAAATCTACATACACTTGAAGTTGTTAGTCTTCTGTGCAGGTATATTATATGAAGAACATTTTTCTCAACCAACTGCTTTCCAAAAAAGTACAATGTAAGGAATTTAAAGCATCAAACATCAAATCAATTAACATTAGCATATATCTGGTTTTCAAAATTATTGAAAATCATTTAATAGAACAATATAACAAAAAAATAAACTAACTTGAGATATAGCCGCAGAATCCATTGATTTGTTTTCTTTTTGTTTGTAGTCAGCCTTTTTTCCTACCATAGAAAATTATATTTTATAAAAATCAAGATGGTGTAGGATTAGTGATTCTACTGGTACGTTCTTGAAAAAGAGAAACACATGTTGCTATATTCCAGCCATGTAGCTGTATATCAGCTTTTAGCATCAATGTAAGAAAGATTGTAAGATACAGGGAGCAGAATACCAAACAACAATCCATCACTTGATTTATTTCCCTGAAATTGTGGACCCATGGGAAATTCAGCACCTAGAAGGGGTTTCGCAACCAGACAATAAAAAATGAATGTATGAAATGAGAGGATGAGAGGCAAAATACTCCAATGCCCGGCTTAAGATCTTGGGGATCTGATGTAGAGTATAACAAGGTGAAGAGCAAAGCATTGTAAGATCAGTTGAGAAGGAAAAGAAGACGACCTCACTTTACCCAAAGCAGCCATTCATACTTAATTCATTTCTTGCCTCACTCCGATATGTGCAGTACTACAACTCACTAATGCAGTATAATGGTAAAGGTGCTGGATTGGAGCCACTGTGATTCAGGCTCATTTTATCATGGCATTTCAGAGGGTAACTCTGTGCCAGTCAATCTTTCAACCCAATCTCTCATGAAGAGTTCTTGATTGAGGAGATAAAATGAAGGGTGATCCCTAAGTATGTTACCTAGGTATGTTGCCTAATAGCTAAACAATCTAGATATCTGGCCATAAGCTTAGCCACTCTAGTAAATGTTTATATATAATTTAATTTTATTCATAATTTTACTCATCATTCATATTGTGCATTTTTAAAACAATTCACTGTTCTGCTTTTATATTTTGAAACACATTTTATATGCTTTTAAATTTTTTTTGCAATAATGCTGTATTCTGTTACACATATGAAATAAATAAATAAAATTATGCTACCTTGAGCAACCAAAAGAATTATGGGATATAATTCTAGTATAACAATAGCAATAGGATGTAATTGTGGGAAGCCCCCCTCCTTCTAGAAGAATGAAATATTTTGGGAAATATTAAGAAAGGCAGAATATTATATTTCCCTAACAGAGAAATGTAGAAACATATTTTTATAAGCAGGAAGCAACCCCCAAGTTTTTCTAAATAGCCCACAGCAGATGCCAACATTTAAGAGGTGAAGAGCTTATTGAAAGAGGAAGACAAGTATCTAGAGAGCTAAATTCATAAGTAAAGCAAATACCGCAGGCAGAAATTCATTCAAGACATGATATTTTGAAACTCCCTTCAGCAAAGTCTGAACAAAGGTAGAATGTAGGATTAGAAGCAGCCCCTCACTCAAATTCCAAAACAGGACAAAAGCCATTAAGCCACAATAGGAATTGCCCAACACCCTTTCAAAACACAAGCCTCTTCATTGTACCATCCCAGAGCAATCCAAACTTTACCTGGGAGCTTAAATAAACAATAAGCCAGAGGTTGACTAGATTAGACAAGTACCTAGGATTTGCATTTCCCCTTTTGCCTATAGAGCCAGCTATGACCCCTACATAACCCCTACATGACCCCATAGGAATTTGACAACCACCAATAGAATATTAAAGGACATGTTTTTGTACAGGAACAGCCTGTACAAAGCCCAAAGAAGGTATAAAGCCTTGCCCCCACTCTCAACTCCATTTTGTCAGCTGCACCAGAACCATAAACACTGGTGGTTCTGTTCCTCATTAAACCATCTTTCCAATCAGCCTCCATGTTTCCAATGTCTTTCTCCCAGCTTGAAACTGAATCAGATGGATATTTCTTCCAACTTAGGGCTATGCAAATCCTTTGAAACAGATCTTTCAGAACACACAGGCTTTGCATCCAAAATACAATGAGACAATAGAAGCAGTTTTAACAGCAGTTGTGTAAGCTTGGAAAAAAGACAAATTTGCTTTAACAATACAAAAAAGTCATGTGTTCCAAAGAACCTGTTTCAAAGAATTTGCACAGCCCTAGAAATGGTGCTTGATTAAGCAGGTATATTCCACATTAATGAGAGACGTCACATCTTGTGTGTAATTAATAAACAATAAAATGTGGAACATTAGGTGTACAAAATAGCAGTCATTGTTGACTTTGGCATAACAGCACATACAAGTATTTATTTATACAGGTAGTCTTTGACTTACAACAGTTCATTTAGTTTCCATTCAAAGTTACAGCACATTGAAAAAGTGACTTATGATTGTTTTTTCACACTTATATGTAAAATGTTGAAAATATATTTGATTGAGAGTAATAAAATCTAAAATAATATATTAAATTTTTGACCTATACCATATTATTACAATACAGTTTACAATAAAATATAATAAAAACTAAAAGATTAAATAACTGGTGATAAAAACAGTAATACAAATGTATAAATATGATTTTAACTGCTCTAGCTAATAAAATATTATTTAGTAATATTTATACAAAATCACTTATATTGCTTCAAATAAGTTATAATGAGTCTCCCAATCTTCCTAAAGAGTATGGAGAATAAACTATTTTCATCTCTTTTCTAATAAAATCTGTTTTATCATCAGCTACCATAATAGTAAACAGCAGTATATATAATGCATATTTTAGTTAGTTTTTACCTTTTGTATTTTCAATGTTAAAGCATTGTTTAGTAAGTGTGTTCTTCTGATTAGCTAATAATCTGAAACAATTAAGAAAATAATTAATTTACATCAGCAGAAATATTTTCATATATTTTCATAAACTATATATTATTAATGAAGATAGGATGATTGAAAAATTACCTATTTGATATTTCCTTGGGATCATTTGTTATAGGTGAATCTGTTTCTACAATATTGGTTTCTGAATTATCACATTTCTAAAACAAAACAATATGTATTTCAAATTAAGAGTAGTATAAAATTCTGATAGAAGACCCATTCATTCTCCTAAAAATAATACTCAAGTGACCTTATTCCTCCCTGCTACTACATTCCTTATCCATTTTGTTAGAAGGAAAACTGTTGTAGTGAAAATCCTGTATTTTTAATTGTTTTTATTTATTTTATTTTTAGCATGTCTTTAAGAATTGAACATTGGATGCTTGGACCCTGTATACTGTGACAACATATCTTTCAAATAACTTTCCTGTTTTTCCTATGAATTTGTGTACTATACTATACTGTATTTAAAAGGAAACAAAATGCAATTGATCTAAAGGATTTCATACAATAGATAGATCTGCCCATACTGACCACATGTTGACTTAGAAGACAAAAAGAATCCCAATAAACTGAAAACAGAAATATTTTTGCAAAATTATCTTTAGATGTACTACATTTTTTAAAATACATTTTATTATGCTGAACTAATGGATGCATATTAGTCATTCTGCTTTTTGTTTGCATACCTGATTTTCATTTTCCATATGGTTGAAATATATACTAGTCACTGCTGAATGCCCTGCCAGATCCTCTTTCTTTTCTGCACCTGTATTATATAAGATTATGAGCTCTATGTTATTCAGCTGATTCTCACATAGGAATAATATAGTAGTAGTCATTTTATGGTAAAAAAGATTACAATATTGGAGTAAGGGTTTTTGCTATTTGCACCCACCATAACACAAAATTGTCTTGGCAACAACTTTTTGGCCATATTTTGCCTTATTTTTTTTTTTAACTGACGCAATGTTAACAGAGAGTTTCCCCTTTATTCCACCATGGTTCAAATATAACCTGTTAACATGTTAGGAGAGAAGGTGTCTGCAATGAATCAAGGCAGAAGCTGGACCAGTAGGAAATCAATCAATCAATCAGAATAGACCTGCAAGGATCCTTGCAGGTCTTCTAGTCCAGTTCCCTGCTCAAGCAGGAGACCCCATACCATTTCAGACAAGCGACTGTCCAGTCTCTTCTTAAAAACCTCCAGTGATGAAGCACCTACAAACTCTGAAGGCAAGCTGTTCCACTGGTTAATTGTCCTTACTGTTAGGAAGTTTTTCCTTAATTCCAGGTTGCTTCTTTCCTTGATTAGTTTCCATCCATTGTTTCTTGCCCTGCCCTTTGGTGCTTTGGAAAATAAATTGATTCTTTGTGACAGCTTTTCAAATACTGGAATACTGCTATCATGTCCCCATTAGTCCTTCTTTTCTCTAGACTAGCCAAACCCAAACCCTATGACCATTCTTCATATGTTTTAGTCTCCAGGTCTTTAATCATATTAGTTGCTCTTTTTGCACTTTTCCCTAAATCTCAACATCTTTTTGTAATGTGGTGACCAAAACTGGATGCAGTATTCCAGGTGTGGTCTTACTAAGGCTTTGCAAAGTTGTGCTAATATTTCATACTATTTTGATTCTATGCCTCTGTTTATACAACCAAGGATTTTATTAGCTTTTTTGGCTGCCTCTGCACACTACTGATTCATATTTAAGTGATCATCCACTAGGACTCCAAAGTCCCTCTTACAGCTACTGTTTTTGAGCCAGGTTTTGCCAAATCTGTACGTGTACCTTTTTTCTGTCCAGGTGTAAAACCTTGCTTTCTCCACATTAAATTTCATTTTGTTGGATAGGGCCCATTGTTCAAGTTTGTCAAGATCTTTTTGGATCGTGAGCTTGTCTTCTAGGGTGTTGGCTATTTCTCACAGCTTAGTGTCATCTGAAAATTTGAATAGATCTCCTTCTATTCCCGCATCTAAGTCATTTATGAAGATATTGAAAAATACTGGGTGTAAGATGGAACCTTGGGGCACCCCACTGCTTACTTCTCTCCATGTAGATATAGTACCATTAAGGATTACTTGTTGCATATGGTTTGTCAGTGAATGAATCAGCTATAGGGATTACAAATTTCATGCTGATACAACTTGTGCTGACCTTCTGCAAACATCCAGGTAGTACAGGGACTAAAAACAGAGGGCACTAAGGGTAGTTCAGTGAGGCCCAGAACAACAGAACAATATGGATATGATCTGGCCAGCATTCTACTACAATTATTCAGCCATGAAGAACGGACATATTCATCAAGTAAAAATTACAAATGTTGATTGGCTATACTGATAAAAGATTTTAAGAAACATTCTGTGTCGATTTAGATTTTGGAAGTACAACCATCTTGTCCATGTTCAGTTTGAGATGGTAATGACACATTTAGCTTAAAACCCTATGGCAGGCTCTTGGAAAGCTATGCCCACAAAGGATGTGACATTTCTTTCTTGTAAGAGGATAAATTGGCAAAATAGCTCTATCTGTTCAGAGTAGGACTTTGTCTCTCTCCCTTGAAAGGGAAAAATGGCACATCACCATAGAAAACAGAACCCAGTCAGTTGTATTTGACTAACTAGTTCCAGTATAACTTGATATAGAAACATCTGTACTTCCTGCAATAAAGATATCAAATTATGCAGAGAAATATCTTAATATATTCTATAATATTCAAATGTATATATAAATATTTAAAGACACAGGTAAGTCATATCACAGGTTGTATATATGCTGTAGGGGAAATGGTACACATATAGCAATAATAACCAGCACTATCCATAGATGGAATATCTAATATTCTATCTATGTTTGTATATATATGTATGTATTTATTTTGTATGTCACCCGAGTCACAGAGACTGTAAAAGTAGTCCTTGACTTACAAACATTCATTTAGTAACTGTTCAGACTTACAATGGCACTGGAAAAATGACTAATAACAAGTTTTCTTATTACGGCCATTGCAGCATCCTCAAGATCACATGATCAAAATTTGGGCACTTGGCAACTGGCATGTATTTATGACAGTTGCACTGTCTTGGATCAGAAACCTTGAAACCTCCACATCTGGCTTCTGACAAGCAAAGACAATGGGAGAAGCCAGATTTCATTGAATGACTGCATGATTTACTTACAACTGCAGTGATTCACTTAACAACTGTGGTAAAAAGTTTGTAAAAATGGGACAAAACTCACTATACAACTGCCTTGCTTAGCAATGGAAATTTTGAGCTCAATACAGTATTGTTGTATTGTTCTGATGCTGCTGTTAGAAATGAATAAAAATATACTGCAAGTCCAGTACTAATAATACTGTATCAATGCTTTTTTGGGCAAAAAGTTTTGTTTCCTTCTATATTTTTTTCATATTTGATATTATTTTAAGGCTGTTTCTTAACTAGACTTAACACAATTCTTTCTACAAAACTCTGTTTGCAGACAACTGAGTATTCATATACAGATTATGAACTGAAATACAGCTCATTATGAACATGTAGCACATTTATTTTTATTCACCTAAAAATCTCACAGCTAAATCTCTTAATATTTTGTTACCTCTGTCTGTGATCTGAAATTGTGGTTTCACAGTTGGTACGCTTTGAACTAATTTCTGAAAAATGCTAGGTAGATTAAATGGTTTATACGTTTGTTCTTTCTTTTTCAATAAAGGTTGACTCTCTTTGAACAAGCTGAAAGAAAATTTTAAATCAATGAAAGAAACATGGAAATATCTGAGACACGTATTTTACTTTACTTTGAAATAAATGATAAGGACATACAAAAATGCACAATCTTATCTAAAGTCCTCACTGGATAATGTCTATTGAGCAATTTTCTTAATAGATATTATGAAAACCAAGGAAAAATACCAAATAGTTACAAAATTATTGACCTACCTGTGACTAAAACTGTTAACACAAAGTTTTCTTTTTGAAAACAATACATTATTATACAATATAATTAGTTTTAATTTAGCATCGATATCTCTGTGAGGCAGATGGGCAATTTCTAAATTTGATTCATAAATAAATAAAAGATAAACAATGCACCCCAACTTTTGTTCTGTCCTCACTTTTTTTCTTTTTCTTTTGGTTTTCTTTTTGGCTTGTTGACCTTTTTAGCTTTAATTTGTTGGGATTTTTTAGTTTTTCCTCTCAGTGTATTTTGTTTAATGAAAGGCAAAAATTATATATAAACGTAATATTTTATAGCTAAATAATATTAAGATGCTATGATTTGAAGGATTATTTGTTTACTTTTAACTATCTTTCTTCAAGTATTATCTATTTTTTCCAATGCTTTAGAATGGGAACAGAAGAAGGAACATAAAATAGAAATTAGAGATACCATATAAAATACTAATGTGGAAATGTTCTTTGATTATTGGAGAAAACAAATGGAAAACCACATTGCCTCTTTGAGGATTCATATGTTACTTACTTTTGGTTCCTAGAGTGAATATGTGTTATCTAGGAGCTGGATCTGCTTTTTAAGTTGAGATATTTTCTTGTCTAGAGAGATTCTATAATTATTTAGACTATATTTTATTTTATTTATTTATTTATTTGATTTGTCAATTGCTTACAAGAAAATAGATATAAGTATAAACATGAGTAAGAATACAGGAAATAGGTATGAATAAATGGAGACAATAGGACAGGGACGGTAGGCATGATGGTGCACTTATGCACGCCTTTATTTCCCCCAAACTGATTTGATCTAGAAAAGTCACTCCATTTACCAGGTTCATACAATTGCCCTTTTATATTTTTAGGCAATGTAAGATGATTCCATTCCATTCCAAGGTAATCACCGCAAGGGAACTTTCACATTAGGAAAAGTACCATATAATATAAACCTTGCTGTAATAGCCAACTTATGTGTAAATATTATATTGAAAATCTGTATTTAAACCTGTATTTAAATCTCTGTGCAAAATAATAAGTAAAGCAGATACAATTTGTAATACTCTTATGAATTTGTAAGCGGGAAAGCTTCTGGACAAGAAAGATTTCAGCATTCAGTAATCTCTTTATAACTCATGTTTTAATGCAATATATTTGATTTTAAAATGCCACCTTTCATCAAAGTCCTTCTTTCTTTCTCTATTTTTTGCTTTTTCTTCTATCATATTAGAATCCTCTTCCATCTGTTCAGTATGCTTTTGATCTTCTGTAACATTGCCTAGATGCTAGAAGACAAAATGCATTTATTTTGTGCAAATGTTTTGTTTATTTTTATCCCAGTTTTATTATGTTTACAGATAAATCAAGATAGCAAACATACTTAATTTTCCTCCTCCTATTTTCCTCAAAAAAAAACCCTGTGGGGTTAGTCACCCAACTAATCTAAAGTTACTTATTTCTGTCTAACTTTCCATGCATATATGCACAAACCACATGGTCTTTGACTTTTCTCCTGGTAGAATGTACTTAATTAGGTGTTAAGCTTCACCTATCCCTATAATGTGTTTCTTATAAATACATTTCCTTTCTGTTATAGTTATAAATATAGTTATGCATTAATTAATTACTACTTAGGTTAGATTCTCATTTTCAGAAATACTTCATACACTCCAATCTCTAATAATACTTTTCCACTGTGATCTGATGCAGTGATATGTTCACATAGACTGCAACATAAGTGTTAGATATTCAATGGGAAAAGTCAGTGATGTCAGACTTCCCCCATTGGTTCATTTTCCAGGCGGGAAAATGAACAGCCATAGTTCATTTGTGGACAGAAATTGTGGACAGCAGCCTGTAAAAAGAACAGCAGGCACACTGGGCGGCAGTCTTTTGTTCAGAGCTAAATAAAGAAATCCTTTCCTTCTACCGTTGTCCTGCCTCTTCAATATAGCCCATATATAACACTGGCGACGAGGATGGGATTCTAGAAGAGAACAAAGGAAATGAGGTGAAGACGGAAAATTCTAACAACTGAACGCTGCTATCACCGTGCTGATCATCAGAATGTCCACCCACGCTCAACCAGAACCTTTTGATCCAAAAAAGCATGACTGGGTCGCGTACATGGGACAATTTCGAATGTTTTTAGAAGTGAATTCACTGCATTCACTATTCCTGGGATATTGTGGGAATCACCTTTACAAAATGGCTAGAACCCTAGCTGCTCCCAAAGATGTGGAAACAATGGAATGGAAAGAATTACAGAAGATGTTAAAAGAACATTATGCTCCCGCTGCATCGTCACTGGCTCACCGACTTGACTTTTACCGCAGAGAACAGAAACCAGGTGAGACCATAAATGATTACCTTACAAACCTACGAGATATTGCTGCAGGCTGTGAGTTTGAAAATGTGGGAATAACTTTAAGAGATAGAATTGTATTTGGAAGGAGGGACCTGAGATTGCAAAGGAAGTTGATAACTAAAAAGAGCATCTCTTTAAAAGAAGTAATAGAGGAAGCCTGAGCAGCAGAAATCTCGGAAAAACCAGCAGCTAAAATTGAGAAATCCGAGAGCGTTCACTCAGCATGGGGGATGACCAGCAAATATCAGGGAGAGGGGGAGATTGGAGAACTCTCCGAAGAAGAGAAGGAAGAAATACATAGAGTAAAACCTGATTGGGTGGGCCCAAGGGATGAGCCAAAGACCCCTATGGTGTCCAGGCTGTAAAGGGAACCACCCCGGGGCGGTTTGCAAATTCAGGGATACGATCTGCCGCCGATGCGAGAGAAGGGGGCATATTGCTGAAGCATGCAGAGCAAATCTGCCAGCATACCCCAGTCAGAGACAAGCAGGATTCCCTAATCATCCACGTGGCCCACAACAAAGGGGATTTCAGAGACCTCCTCATTCAAATTACAGGAGGGAAGAGAATAGAATGGAGAAGGACAGAGACTATTAACACACAATAGTGGGGCATTCTGATCACCATAAATCAAAGAAATTCAACATCACAGTGATAATAGGAGAAAAACCTTGTGATATGGAAATTGAGTCCGGATCCTACATATCTATGGTGTCCTGGACAACTATAAAAGAAGCAATCCCTGGCATAACTTGACAACAACTAAAACCATAACGTTTAATACTAAAAGATTTCCAAGGGAACAGAATTCCCCTGTTAGGAAGAGGAATTTTTCCAATAAAATTCAGAAACTTCACAATTGCCTTTAACTATCGTGGACAAAGAAGTACCAAGCCTCCTCAGAATAGAATGGTTTAGAGCCATAGGAGTAGAGATGACCATCCACACCACGCAAGCAGAGGAGCACAATCAAATGAGAGAGGACCTGCAGACTGAATTCAAGGATGTGTTTGATGGAACCTAGGCAAGTATAAGGGGACCCCTATTTCCCTCAACCTTGATCCAAAAGTTCCCCCTGTCAGAATAAAACCAAGGCAAGTCCCTTTCTCCCTGAGACCCAAAGTGGATGAACAATTAGATAAACTCATAGCCCAGGGAGTACTAGAGCCAGTTGATCACGCTAAGTGGAAGACCCTATAGTCACTCCAGTTAAGCCAGATGGGTCAATCAGAATCTGTGCTAATTATAAAATTTCAATTAATATGGCATTGCAACAGATCGTGTACTCAGTGCCAGTTGTACAACATCTATTGCATTCAATAGGAAAAGGGAAAATTTTTGCCAAATTAGACTTGGCTCAAGTCTATCAGCAGTTACCTGTGGATGAAGAAACAGCAGAAGCTGAGACCATTGTAACACACAGGGGTGCTTTCAAATGCAAAAGACTGCGATTTGGGGTCAGCGTAGCCCCTGGACTATTTCAAAGCTTAATGGAACGCCTACTACAGGGCATTGTGGGGGTGGTACCTTATTTTGATGGTGTCCTTGTGGCAGCAGAGGACAAAGAACAACTTAAACAAAGACTAAGGCTAGTCGTGAGCAGATTCCAAGAAGCTGGCCTTAAGCTCAAAAAAGAGAAATGTCACATAGCAGTACCAAGTGTTGAATTTCTGGGATATTTAATTGATGAGACAGGTATATACCCCACCAATAGTAAAATAAAAGCAATTAAGGAAGCTCCCACTCCAACAAACAAAACAGAATTACAGGCTTTCCTGGGACTTTTAAACTTTTACAGTATTTTTCTACCACAGAAAGTGACAGTTGCTGAACCACTTCACAGACTTCTTGATAAAAATGCAGAATGGACTTGGGGGTACAGAGAAGCAACTGCATTTGAATCCATAAAAGGACTCTTAACTTCTAACAGTGTTCTAGTACAATATAATGAAACATTACCTCTTTCACTAACATGTGATGCATCTTCTTTTGGGGTAGGGGCCGTTCTCAGCCATAAATTCCCGAATAGCAGAAAAGCACCCATTGCTTTCTACTCAAAAACTTTATCCAAAGCTGAACGGAATTACAGCCAGCTAGATAAGGAAGCACTGGCTGTAGTAGCAGGCATTAAGCATTTTCATGAATATCTTTATGGGAGACAATTTGAACTAGTCACAGACCACAAACCATTCCTAGGCATCATAGCAGGAAACAAACCAACACCAAACATATTGTCCCCTAGAATGATAAGATGGACTGTTTTCTTAGCTGCATATAACTATCGCCTTATACATCGACCGGGCAAGACCATAACTCATGCAGATGCACTCAGCCGTTGCCCCCTTCTAGAACCTGTTGAAGACCCAGCTCCAGCTCCAGCCACATCCACACTCCTCATTGAAGACATTGCCACCGGCCCTATCACAGCATCAGAGATAGCCAAACACTCAGCCAAAGACAAAACTCTGGCACATATTTTAAACTGGGTGTTGAGGGGATGGCCAGAAGAAGTGCTGGAAGGTGACTTTAAACCATTTAAAATTCAGCAAAATGAACTGTCTGTAATTAAAGGGTGTTTGTTGTGGGGGGATAGAGTTGTGATACCTGAGATGCTGAGAGAACAAGTCTTAAGAATGTTGCATGAGGGCCACCCAGGGATAGTAAGAATGAAAGCATTAGCCAGAAGTTATACTTGGTGGCCGGGAATGGATAAGGAAATTGAAAAATGGGTTGCAGGTTGTACGCCTTGTCAGGAATCTAGACCTGCACCCCCTTCAGCACCAACCATAGAATGAGAATCACCAAAAGCACCTTGGTCTAGAATACATATAGACCTGGCAGGGCCAATGCAGGGGCAAACATTTCTAATAACTGTTGATGCATATTCAAAGTGGGTGGAAGTAACGATCATGAAAACCACCACAGCAGACGCTGTGATTAAGGTATTGAGGAAATTGTTTGCCACACATGGGTTACCAGGTGTTGTGGTATCAGATAATGGGCCCCAATTCACAGCAAACAATTTTGAATGTTTCCTAGCTGAACAGGGAATCCGCCATGCATTATCAGCACCTGGACACACCCAGAATAACGGGCTGGCAGAGAGAGCCGTAAGGTCCACGAAGGAAACCTTAGCAAAAATGGGACCAGCGGATTGGCAAATGAAAATAGACAAATTCTTAATGATACAACATATCACACCTTCGGCCACCACACACAGAAGTCCAGCATAACTTTTTTTAAAATAAGTTTTATTGAGTTTTAACAAAACAAATAAAACATCTTATTTGAGTACAGCATGGTTCCGGGTTATCACATTTCCATACAGACACAATTTTATATGCACATTCATCTTATGTATTCAACTTCGTATCTTATTACTCTTTTTCCAACTTCTCACTATTTCTCCCTTTACTTCTCTCAATTTTCTTTTATGGTTATCTCATTTTCTTCTTATTCAATTGTATTTCTTTTACCTAAATTTCTATATCTTTTTATTCATTGTACTTATACTTTTGTCTGTGCATCATGCCCGGCCACATACATTGGACAGACCAATAGAAGAATAAGTACCCGCCTGGATGAACACAAAAATGCAGTCAAAAAGCTGGAACACACTTCCTCACTAGTCCAACACATGGAAGCCACAGGTCATAGCATCAACTTCAATGGCACCCAAACCCTAGCCACTATAGAAAACCCCAGCCACAGAATCATCAGAGAAGCCATAGAGATTGAAAAAAGACCAGAAAGCATGAACAGAAGAGATGATTCCACCAGACTGTCAATCATTTGGAAGCCTGCACTCACAAGCAAAAAAATCTCCACACCACAAGCCAGGCAAACACCTGGGCACAAACAGATCCCCCCTGATACCTCCAGCTCAAACACACCCCAACCAGGCACCCAGATGAAACCTAGCTTCCTAACTAATGATAGCTGTCCATTTACCCGAAGCCAAGCTGCACTAAAGGCCTCCAATAAAGTAACACAATGTTGCCAGCCAATCAAAATACAAAAAGAGCCAAAAAACAGACAGAAGATATTAGAAACACCAATCAAGCAGAACACAGCAAACTCCAAGACCAATAAACACAGACCAAGACTCTCAACCAATCAGGATGAAGAAAAAACCATTCTGGCACAACAATAGGCTGCCCCAAATTCAAATCTGAAACCACTGTAAAAGTCTGACTCATAGATGAACACTATACAGAAGCCTGATGATGGCAGATGAGATTCTGCCGAAACGTCGCTACAACTTTAAAAGCACAACTACTATGACGTGGGAAAATACCCGAACAAAGCTGAATGCCATACATGTAAGTACCCGCGAAAACTTAAGAATATATATATATATGTTGTGATTCCGGCATCTGCTACAGGTTTTTTGAATGACAGCTCCAGCGAGGAGGACTTATATGAATCAGCAAGTTCTAACGATGAGGAGGAGATGAATGCATTTGATTTG